TTAGCAGATTGAAGAACAGGGATTAATAGAGAGGAACTCAGGGGAAAAGTGAAACATAAGTGTGGGTATGATTTTCCCAAAGGGGGACACACACACGCACACGCACGCACACACACACACACACACACACACACAGAAACATAGTTTTGGTGGTTTTTAAAGCTATTATGTTTCAATCCTAATCATTCAAATGAGATCACAGGACAGTTCCTGAAATATGCAGGGAAGATCAGAGCAGATCAGAGGAAACACTAGGTCAGGATTAGCGATATTGTTCACTTGATAGAGTGAATCGCTGGGTTTGATCCCTAGCACCACATAAACCAGGGATGCTGGTGCAACCCTGTAATCCTAGCACATTGGAGATAGAGACAAGAGGATAAGAAGTTCAAAACCATCCTTGCTACAAGTCAGTTCATGGTTGTGATGGCTTGAATAGGTGTAGCCCCATACACTCACGTCTTTAAATGCTTGGCCCATAGGGAGTGGCACTATTAGGAGGTGTGGCCTTGGAGTAGGTGTGTCACTGCAGAGGTGGGCTTTGAGGTGTCCCCTATGCTCAAGCCATGCCCAATATGACAGTTACTTACCGTTGCCTGTGGATCAAGATGTAGAACTGTTCTGCTTCTTCTCCAGCACCAGGTCAGCCTGCACCACACCATGCTTCTCACCATGATGATAGTGGACTAAATCCACGAAACTGTAAGCCACACCAATTAAATGTTTTCCTTTATGATAGTTTTCCTTTATGATAGCCACAGTCATGGTGTCTCTTCACAGCAGTAGAAACCCGAACCAAGGCAAAGACTAACCTGGCTATGTAAGATCCTGTCTGGAAAATAAAACAAAAATCCCACCTGATCCCGGGGATGTAGGAGGTCAGGGTAGCTTCGCTGTGAACCAAGGTGAGTCGTCTTCTTTGTGAGAGTCCCACAAAATATCTGGGGAAAAGTGAGGCCCTAACCGAGATCATATGAATCAAGGTGTTAAGTTTTGTTTATTGCCATTTCAACATTTTTATTTGAAAACATAGATATATAAAAAAAATATTGTCCCCCTGCGGGCAGCTTTCACAGCAAGTGTTGTTAATCATGCTGGAATTCCTGCTTTTCAGCAGCGAGAGCTTTAACTGGACTCTAAATGAGGGGTTCCTTTCCGTTCTCATGCTCCCATAATTCTCCCTTGGTATCCCAGCTTGAGCTCTCTGCCACTGAGCTACACCCTCAGCCCCAGATTTCTTTATGGTCCAGACTGGCCTCAAACTCTATGGAGCCCAGGAAAGTCTTGAACTGTTCATCCTCCTGTCTCCACCTTCCAAATGTTGGAATTTTAAGTATAAGCCACCATACCTTGTTCACAGGTTCCATTTTTTTAAAAGATCTGATTTTGGGGGCTGGAGAGATGGCTCAGTGGTTAAGAGCAGTGGCTGCTCTTCCAGAAGACCCGGTTTCAATTCCCATCACCCACATTAAAAATTATCTGATTTTATTTAATTATATTTTTCTTTTTCTTGAGACAGGGTTTCTCTGTGTAGTCCTGGCTGTCCTGGAACCTGATCTGTAGACCAGACTGACCTTATACTTAGAGATCCACCTGCCTCTGCCTCCTACCTGCCTCTGCCTCCCAAGTGCTAGGATTATAGGCATTTTTTTTTAAGGTGAGTGTACAGTGGCCCTTGCTTATAATCCCAGAAAGGCAGAGGCAGGCAGATCTTCAAGAGTCAGCTTGGTCTACATACTGGACCTAGGACAGCTAGGGCTATGTAGAATTCTTTGTTTTGTTTTTAATAAATTGTGTGTGTGTGTGTGTGTGTGTGTGTGTGTGTGTGTGTCTTGTCTGATTGTGAGTGCAGTACCAGTGGAGGCCAGGAGATGTTGGATCCCCTGAAGCTGCAGTGGATGTGAGACACCCGGCATGGATGCTGGGAACAGAACTCAGGTCCTCCTGGGGAACAGTGTGTGCTTTTAACTGCTGAGCTGTCCCTCCATCTTCCCAATCCATTTTGAAAGTTAATCCATGCAGATTTACTAATGAGCAGAAACAGCATCAGGAAGCAAGGAATCTAGGGAAACACCCCGAATCACTGGAAAATGCAACCCCCAGTTACAGAAGGTGGGGAAACCTGCGGAAAGGGCAGGCCTGTCCATTCATCCTGTGACCCTGACGGGGTACTTGGACCCTCAACCTCAGGTCCCTCACTTCTGAGACAGCTGTAACTGATGCTTCCTCCAAGGTGGAGAAGAGATTGAGCAGGATCAGCAGCAGGCTGATGAGGGTGGTTTGAGGGGTGGGGGTTGGGCTGGGTGGGGCAAACTTGTGACTACTGAACCTGATCTCAGAAGGAAGAGAGCAATTGGATGCCTGGAAATCTGCCTTCTTGCCACTGTCCATGTTTTCCTTCTTATTATTTTTTTTAATTTATTTATTTATTAAAGATTTCTGTCTCTTCCCCGCCACCGCCTCCCATTTCCCTCCCCTCCCCCTCCTTCTTATTCTTTAACACGGTCTCCTCCAGGGTCTTTGATGATGATGGGTACAGTTAATGACAAGCGACCATATTCCCACAGCTTTGAAGTTTGCAAAAACACTTCATGGCAAACAGAACCTATCGGATGACTATATCAAACTAAAGATTAAAAAATTTTTAGAGACATACATAGATCTAATCTACATGGGAAGTAGAAGAAGACGAGATCTCCTGAGTAAATTGAGAGCATGGGGACCTTGGAGGAGGGTTGAAGGGGAGGGGAGAGGCTGAGAGGGGAGCAGAGAGAAATGTAGAGTGCAATAAAAATCAATTTAAAAAAACTTAAAACAATTAAAAACAGAAAAGATTTTTTTAAATATCTATTTATTTATTATGTATACAATATTCTGTCTGCGTGTGTGTCTACAGGCCAGAAGAGGGCACCAGACCTCATCACAGATGGTTGTGAGCCACCATGTGGTTGCTGGGAACTGAACTCAGGACTTTTGGAAGAGCAGGAAATGCTCTTAACCACTGAGCCATCTCTCCAGCCCAGAAAAAAAAAAAAATTTACTGTTCCAAAAAGCTTTTTTTTACTGAGATTTTTAAAAATATTTTTATTTTTTAATGAGTATTGAGTGGTGTGTTGCCTGCATGTATGTCTGCGTGAAAGGTGTCAGATTCTCTGGAACTAGAGTTACAGTTGTGAGCTGCCACATGGGTGCTGGGAATTGAACTTGCATCCTTTGGGTTTTCTTTTTTTTTTTTAGTTTTCTGAGACAGGGTTTCTCTGTGGCTTTGGAGCCTGTCCTGGAACTAGCTCTTGTAGACCAGGCTGGCCTCGAACTCACAGAGATCCACTTGCCTCTGCCTCTCGAGTGCTAGGATTAAAGGCATGTGCCACCACTGCCCTGCTGAACCTGCATCCTTTGGAAGAGCAGTCAATTCTTAACCCCTGAGCCGTCTCTTCTGCCCCCAAATTAAAGAATTTAATTAAATCAATTGAGGACAAGAGGGACGTCAATCCACCAAAAGTCGTATCATTTTCCTTCTGCCATGTCCTTTTGATCTGGACTGCTTCCAGAAGCTGCTACCCACCACCAGGGTGACTCTTCCTGCATCAGTTAAGGCAATCAGGATGTCCTTCAGGAGAGGCTCCCTACTTAGATCACTTTAATTTGTGGCAAGTTGACATTAAAGCCAACCCTAATAACCACTATCTCTCCTGAATCCAGCCTTGAATTACAGCACCTTTCTGAGGAGAATGAAATTCTTCTGAAGACTTATTTATTCATGTATTTCATGTATATGAGTCTCTCTTCATGCACACCAGAAAAGGGAATCTGATCCCATCACAGAGGGTTGTGAGCCACCATGTGGTTGGTGGGAATTGAACTCAGGACCTCTGGGGAGCAGTCAAGTGCTCTTAACCGCTGAGCCATCTCTCCAGCCCTGAGAACACAATTCTTAAAATAAAAGAATACAAAACCAAATTCAGGTCATACACCCAACCAGACATAGCTGAAACTCCTCTCTCTCTCTCTCTCTCTCTCTCTCTCTCTCTCTCTCTCTGTGTGTGTGTGTGTGTGTGTGTGTGTGTGTGTTTGACCTCGTTTAGTCTAAGGTAGCGGGATGACTGGAGAACGTCTTGAACTGCATGTCCCTCCTCCTGTTCAGGAGTGGACATGCCATTTGGCTATGACAGGAGCTGTGGGTCCCACCCTCTGCCTCTGAAGATGGGCTACAGAGAGCCCAAAGGCCCTCACTGGCTTGGTCCCTGGAGTAGCATGGAAGGGGTGAGGAAGTGTGTCTGTACACAGCGTTACTGAATCTGAGGTATCAACCACTGCTGTCGTCTTCTGTGCTTCCTCCTGTTCTTTCTCCACTTCCAGAGGTAACACATAAAGTGACCAGAGCCCAGAAGAGTCCACACACTTCAGGTTACAGAGCTGACTCTGAGCTCCGTCTTTCCCAGGGGAATTCCTGCATGTGTCCCCTCCTTCCTTCCCAGACTGGAAGAGGGACCAGCTGTACTCTTTCTGCCAGGTGCCAGAACACAGCTGTTCCCTCATTGTAGCCCTCCACACCCAAGTGAGCTGAGCAGGGGGGAGACTAAAGGGGGTGGGGCTACCTCTTGCTAGCCAGTGATGCTGTGTCCACAGTAGGCAAATGCATCAGGAGATTGATTTGGAGCAGCAGTTCTGACTGGTGAGAGCCACCACTGACCGGTTAGAGGTGGTGAATGGGAGGGCAAGGAGTAGAGGCCTCGGGTTAGAATATGCAAAGGTGTGTGTGTGTGTGTGTGTGTGTGTGTGTGTGTGTGTGTGTGTGCGCGCGCGCGCGCGTGTGTGTAGAGGGGTTGATTAAAGGAAGTGGGTACTGGACAGTAACAGTGCCAGGGAAGGCCAGAACAGCAAGCTGTAGCCCCAGCTCCCCCGCACCCTGGGGCTCAGTTCCCATCCGGGCTAACAGTAAATTAACCCCCTGAGCCAGCTGTCTTGGTGCGAGAAAGGATTGCACCAAAGCAAAACTAATCCATGAGCTGAAGGCTAGGAAGCACAGAGGTATGAGCTGAAGGGAGGACTCCTGTCCGCCCGCGATGTAGTCTAGAACCTGGGTTCCCTTTGCAGGTCCAGGCTCTGCCATGCCCTCTCCGCTTCTCCCGTTGCTGCTTCGTTCGCTGCTCTCCCGCCTCCTGCTGCCTGTTGCCCGCCTGGCCCGCCAGCACCTCCTGCCCCTGCTGCGCCAACTGGCCCGCCGACTGAGCTCCCAAGACGTGAGAGAGGCTTTGCTGGGCTGTCTGCTGTTTGTCCTCAGCCAGCAACAGCCACCGGATGCTGGAGAGACCTCCAGAGTGGACCACTCCCAAAGGAAGCAGAGATTGGGCCCCCAGAAGTGAGGCCACCGGTCGTGGAAGCAGCAGCGTCCGGCCATTGAAGTGTCTTTTGGAGCGGTTCAGCCCAAGTATCTGCACTGACTGTAGAATGCCCAGTGGGAGAAGACGGAGTGGGGGCTGAGTGGGAGAGGATTCTGACCCGAGCTCCCACTCTCCTAGGATCTCGCAGATGACAGATGTACCATTCTTCCGTTCTTCCCTTCTCCCCGCAGTCCCCTCTGCCAGTGACCTCTGGCCTTCAGGGTAGACCTGCAAATGGGGGCAGCAAGGTCAGAGACAATGTTCGAGACAATTTAGCTAAGAGATGGTATTTAAACCCAAACTGTCCAGTTTCCCAGACTTAATGGAAGGTTTCCTTTTGAGATAGATGTACCCTCAAAGTTCAGCATGCAGCGAGTAGTCAATAAACAACGGTGCATTGTGGTGTTGTTGTTTGTGAGACTGGATCTTATGTATACCAGGCTGGCCTCAGACTCCTGAGGATGATCTTGAACCAACTTTTCTGAGCCTCCTGCCTTTACCTCACAAGTGCTGGCAACACAGGCACACGCCCACATCCAAGCCCAGTTCGAGTGGCACTGGGGATCGAACCCAGAGCTTTGTTTGCTAACAAGCTCTCTACCAGTGAGCCACACCTCATCCCTGTGCTGGATGACTGGGGTGCTTCTGGAAACGGTGCCATCCCTGCTCTTGCCTAGTGAGGACGGCTGTCTGCGGGAAGCTGGAGAAGGGGTGGGAGAAGACGTTGGCAGAACTTCCTTTGGATAACTTGTTCCATCTGTTTCTCCCAGTCCTCACGAGCCACAAGTTGTTCGGAGTTGTGTAACTTCATTCAGAATGTCCCCCTGTGGCCCAGGATTCTTAGGTCTGTGTTACAGGCTAACAGGCTGACAGGGGAAGGAAAATTGATCCCTGGCAAGCTCTGAAGACATCTCAGCTAGAAGTAGTGGGGAAAGGAAGACTGACCAGCTTGGCGGTGGGCAGGGGAGTAGGGACATGCCTGCCCATGATGGAGGCCATACTACACTGGAAGAAATAGGAATAAACGGTTCACTTCATCCGCCTGGAGAGATGACTCAGCAGTTCAGAGCACTGGCAGTTCTTCCAGAGGACCTGAGTTCAATTTCCAGCACCCACAACCCCCAATTCCACACTCTTTTTCTGGCCTCTAAGGGCAACAGGCCCTGGGAACTTGTGTGTGTGTGTGTGTGTGTGTGTGTCTGTGTGTGTCTGTGTGTGTCTGTGTGTGTGTGCGCGCGCGCGCATGCATGGGTGGGCATTTGTAGTAAGATCCTCTGGATAATTTGATTATGATTCCCACACAATAATCCTTTCAGGAATGCCTTGGGTTGTAGATTAAGTTGTATATAGAGAGGAATGCAGGCCTTTGTCCCAATCCCCAATCAAGTTGGGAATCCCCCTACAGGTTCCTATAGAAACTTGAGGCTGGGAAAGGGATGACATCCGAGCTGAGCTCCAACTTCCCGCTCCCACCCCACCTGCCAGACCCTGCAGAATTTTTCTCTCCTCCAGATACTTCCTACAAAAGTCAGCAGAAACTAGAGCACACGAGACCTGTGGGGACAAGCGGATTAAAGGTAGTCCCAGCTTCCCTAAGACGTCCCTTTTCAGCCATGGCCCCTCCCCTGGGCCTCCTCCTAGCCACCTGGTGTCCTCGGATCTCCACACCTCGACCTGCCCGGGGCGGGGCAGGCAGAGCTCGAGGTTGTCCGGCTATCTCGGTGACGGCTCCTCCAGCGCCAGCAGGCCAGTTCCAGCCTTGGAGGCAGCCACCACCCCAAGGTGAGGAGGTAGGGAGGAAGCTGGGTCCCCACGGCCTGGGAATTTTCGTTCTTCCCCCTCCCCTCCAGATCCGGATGACAGTCTCCTGCAGGTGCATAGGGGCGGGACGCGGGAGGAGGGGCACTTACCGGGACTGCAGGGTTCTGTGGGTGTCACGGTCAGCAGGCCCTTTGAGGAGGATGTAGTCCAGCAAAATCCAAATCTGCCGCCTTTTGTGGAAGAATATATTTTTCTGGGAATTTGTAGGCCCACAGTTGGATGATTGTTTAGGGTTCAGACCACTTAAAATTGTCCCCTGCCTACCTGCCAACCTAGAGGGTTAGTAGACACTTCTGAGAAATCTGGCTAGAAGCCCAGGCCCAGAGCAAAGGAGCAAAGTCACTTCTTCAACCTTGACCTAGTATTCACCGGGTGCACACATCTGTCTTCTTTTGGAAAGTCGATATTGGGCATGGGTAAACTTGCTCAATTGGCTCAATCCTCAAAACTTAAGTTAAAAGAAAATTTTTTTTTTCTTTTTTGGTTTTTCGAGACAGGGTTTCTCTGTAGCTTTGAAGCTTGTTCTGGAACTAGCTCTTGTAGACCAGGCTGGCCTTGAACTCACAGAGATCCACCTGCCTCCACCCCTGGAGTGCTGGGATTAAATGGTGTGCCACCACCACCCAGTTGTGTTTTTCTAAGCTGTGATGCCACTTGTAACCCCAGCACTGGGAGGCAGAGGAGAAGACTGATGATTAGAAATTCTATGTCAAGCCGGGCGGTGGTGGCGCACGCCTTTAATCCCAGCACTCGGGAGGCAGAGGCAGGCGGATCTCTGTGAGTTCGAGACCAGCCTGGTCTACAAGAGATAGTTCCAGGACAGGCTCCAAAACCACAGAGAAACCCTGTCTCGAAAAACCAAAAAAAAAAAAAAAATTCTATGTCAAAATACAAGGTGGGCCTGTCCAGTGGTGCAGGCCTTTAACCCCAGCACTCGTAAAGCAGAGGCAGGCAGATCTCTGAGTTCCAGGCCACCCAGAGCTACTTAGTGAGAGCCTGTCTAAACACACACACACACAAACACACACACACACACACACACACACGGTGGCTGGAGAAACAGCTCAGTGACTACTGTTCCTATAGAGGACCTGGGTTTGGTTGTCAGCACCCATATCAGGTAGCTCACACTGCCTGTGACTCCGGTTCCCAGAGATCCAAAGCCTTCACACCTCCATCCGCATGCGCATGCACCCATGTGTGGTGTACATGCAAATGCATGAAAAACAGAGAAATGTGGATGGTCCCTGAGGAGCAGCAGCCAGAGCTGTTCTCTGACCACACACTGCGGATTCCGACATCGTATTCATTATGGGGTCTTTCCACTAACTTAGTTTTGTTTCATTTTTTAACAGTGGCATTAGAACCGAGGAGCTAGCTCCGTGGCCGAGCCTGCCCCTAGCATGTTAACAGTGGGATTAGGACCGAGGAGCTAGCTCTGTGGCCGAGCCTGCCCCTAGCATGTTAACAGTGGGATTAGGACCGAGGAGCTAGCTCCGTGGCCGAGCCTGTCACTAGCATGTTAGCAGTTGCATTAGGACCGAGGAGCTAGCTCCATGGCCGAGCCTGTCCCTAGCATGTTAGCAGTTGCATTAGGACCGAGGAGCTAGCTCCGTGGCTGAGCCTGTCCCTAGCATGTTAGCAGTTGCATTAGGATCGAGGAGCTGGCTCCGTGACCGAGCCTGTCCCTAGCATGTTAGCAGTTGCATTAGGACCGAGGAGCTAGCTCCTTGGCCGAGCCTGTCCCTAGCATGTTAGCAGTTGCATTAGGACCGAGGAGCTAGCTCCTTGGCCGAGCCTGTCACTAGCATGTTAGCAGTGGCATTAGGACCGAGGAGCTAGCTCCGTGGCCGAGCCTGTCACTAGCATGTTAGCAGTTGCATTAGGACCGAGGAGCTAGCTCCGTGGCCGAGCCTGTCACTAGCATGTTAGCAGTGGCATTAGGATCGAGGAGCTGGCTCCGTGGCCGAGCCTGTCACTAGCATGTTTCAGGTTCTGAACTTGACCCCCCCCCCCAGCATCACAAAACAACAAAACCCACATTTCCTTAAATTCCTTCTGCATTGTTAAATATTTCGGTATCCCCTAAATTTAGCAGGATGGGCAAGTGTTTCTCTGGGCTTCCCCTAGTTCCTTTTCTGCCACAAGGCCACAGAGATTCAATCACAAACAAGAGAAAACTTGAGCCATAGCTTGTGACAACCCCACAAGCCGGAGCAAACATTGTTGCTGCAAACACAGATGGCTGTTGCTAACACAGGCCTGGGGGGTGGGGGGAATCTAGGGCTGTGAGCTTGGTGTGAGGTAAACCTACCTTCTAATGGGGGAGGTGGAGATGAGCCAGTCCCAGCTGGGGCGGAGAACATCTGGCCAGGTGGACCAGCCCTCACAGCCCAACCTTAGGGACAGAGAGGAGAGAACCATGGAATGAGGAAGGTGGAAAGGCCTGGTAGAACTGCCTAAGAATCTGTCCAGGCCCAGGCCTGTGTGAGCTGGGTCCCCGGGGCTGTCCAGCAGAGGGCCCTGGCACCAGTGACTGGCTGAGGCTGCCTGGGGTGTGGGTGCTGGCTGGAACCCAGGCAGGGAGCTTGCCAGATGGGCTATTCTCCAATAATAACAGGCCTGGCTGTGGCCATCTGCATAGATGGTCAGGTCCCAGTGGGCGTGAGGAAAAGAACCAGCCTTCCTCAGCTCTGGCCAGGACCCTCACCACTTCCCTCCTTTCTCCAGCTTCCAGCCTCCTTTGTACACAAGGGCAGGCCCCTGGCCCACAGCCTGGCCATGCTAGCAGATCTGACAGCTGTGAGTCAGAGCTAGGAAAGGAAGGTGGGTGAGAGGCAGGGGCTGAAGAAGAAGGGAGGCAAAGACGGGAGACAGACCGTCAAAACAGAGGGCAGGAATCTAGGGTTGTGGACAGACATGAGACAGCTCTCCAGCCGCCATGGGCTAGTGCCCAGAAAAATACCACCCAAACCCGACTTCCTGCCCTGTTTACTCAGTGCTAGTGAGGAGATGTGTCATTTCTGAGAGCTGGGAGGCTGGATACACCCCACCAGAGCAGTTTGGGAGAGCCCACTGTCCTTTGGAGAGTCAGCCACCTCCTTAGGGCCCAGTCTTTCTCTAGGGAGAATGGCTACACCTTTCCCCCTGTGAGGTGTAGTAGTGGTAATTGTTAATTAGTTCCAATGGCTTCTCTGGGGGACCCGCTCCTTGGGAAGGCAGGGTGAGGCAGGTAGCCTGGATGGAATTATCTCTCCTCAGGACCCTCCCCAGCCTCTGGGTCACCCTACAGTAGGGACAGCGAATAAACCCTTCCCTCTTTGCTGCCGGCATTAAAGAAGGAATGAATCCTGGCCAGCCCCTAGAGGCACGTGCTGGCCGCTCCCCCAACTCCCCCAGCCAGCGGAGGATATGGACTCAGCGAGGCTTCTAGCCCTAATGGTTATCGTCTTGGGTTGGGACAGTGAGATGCTGGCTAGGACAATGGGATGTTCAGGATGGGAGTCTTCTCCGGGCTCTCCCTTCTCCCGTCTCCAGCTGTGTTTCAGTTTTTCCTAGAGGCCTCGGGACTGTTCCCTAAGCAAATGGCCTTCAAGGCAAAGCTGGAAAGTATGGGGGGGGGGGGGGGGAGTAGGGAGGAATGTTGTTTGTGGTGTGTGTGCCTGTCTGTGAAGGGTGGAGAGAAAACAAGCGCCCGGGTTCCAGAACAAATAAATCTGAGGTATCCCACTAGGGTAGGTGGCAGAAAGTCTTCTTGAAGGGAAAAGGAGGGGTGGAAAGGAAGAAGGCTGTATTAGAAGTGCGCCCTGTGAGAGGGTGCTCAAAGTAAAACGGTGGAGTGTGAATGATGGCGTGGGCGGGGTTCGGAGAGGGATAACGGAACACCTGGGTGGAGTGTGGCTGTGGGGGCGTCTGGGCCTGTGTGAGCAGAGGGCTTGTCTGTGCAAGAGTCCCGCCGTGGAATGCGTAGGAGTTAGGAGCACAGGCTCAGCGCGGAAATTAGGGGACCCAGTGTGGGACGGAGCCCCCTCCCTGGCTCGCGTATCCTAGGAGTACCCAGTGTGGGACCGGGGCCCCCTCCCGGTTCGTGTGTCCGAGTGACGGTTGGGAAGGGTCCGAAGATGTGTCTGCCACCGAAGTAAACCGCCCAGGCGGCCCTAGGCGCAGGGTCTCTGGGTCTGGGAGCCCATAACTGCTGAGGGGGGCCGCGGGGAAGCGGGGGCGGGGCCAGGGCGGCGGCTGTCGCCGGAGGAGGTGGCCCGCACGGGCCCGGGGCGGGCCCAGCAGAGGGCGGGTTTGAAAGCGCTCGGGCGGGCGCGGGAAGCGCGGGTCGAGAGCGCAGATTTCGGCGCGGGAGGTGTCGTTCTCCAGCAGGTGCTCGTAGGGTCCGGGCGGGCGTTCCGGGGCTCCGGGGCAGAGAGTGGCATGTCTGGTCTGTCACCAGGGGAAGGGAGGCCTGGCCTGCCAGCTCCTCGGCCGCGACAGAGACTTGGGGTGCGGCCCCCACGCGGCGCGTGCGGAGCAGCGCAGCACGTGGCGCGCATGGGCCTGACTCTGGGTTGGGGGTGTTCCTTCTGTGGAGCCCCGGGTGGAGCGGGACCCAGGGCAGTCTGGCTTCTGGGCCTGAAAGCCACCGTCGCTATGCTGACCTCCTTCCTCAGAGGGTCGGCAAGTAAGCGGTTCAATGTGACCGCTCCTGTACGAACCCGAGAAGGGCCGCTTTGCCTTCTGCCCTGAGGCAGGAGGATGGTGATTCCGGTATTCAAACGAAGGCGGGGGTGCTACTTCTTTACCGGCTAAACTCGTGTCCTTGGCCTCCCTTTCCTGGGTGCGTCCTTATTTACTCAGCACAGAGAGTGAGAGACGAGGACGCGCACACCCAGGCTTCCCGGTGGGATGAAGGCTTATTCCAACCCTGAACCCCAGCCCACTCGGGCTCTCTTTGCAACCTGGTGCGGATAGTCAGGCCCCTCTTCCTTATTAACCCCCATTCTGTTCGTCTTGTCTTAACTGTGTGACCTTTGCATGCAATAACGTATGTGTCATGGGTTTGCTGTGAGGTGCCTTGAACCCAAACTAATGTTATGTGAGTGACCTGAATCGCCTAACTTGTTTTAACCTTTTAATTGGAGCCAGAGCCCCCACCCCCACCCCCGCGCCTCGAAGTTTACAGGACTAACTAGGGAGCCGCTTTAATTTCTCCTTCCCTACAGAAGAAATCTAGAATAATCGGTACATTAAGTACTAATGCTGGTTCCTCCACTCACTAGCTCTGCAGCTCTTGTTCAGTGAAGCAGCCTCTCTGAACCTCAGTTGGCCCTGTCTGTTTAGTAGAAACTGTCTACTACCTCTAGCTTCTGGGCAGCTGGGAGAGGGGACCCCTGCATATTGCAGCCAAAGACTCTGATGTAGCACAAGCTTCGTTGAGAAACAGACATATGAGAAATGTTGGCACCCTAGGACACGGAAAAGCTCAGACTAGTGGTTGCCTTCGGGGCTCCTTCTCCGAAGGTCCAGGCGTGACTGAAAAGGACACCAGAACCCCTGACCTGCTCTTAGATCGCTGGGCAGACCAAAACAAAGCACCTAGACAGGGAATAACTGTTAGGATGTGGGCAGGACCCATGACTTTAACTGGTGCCCAGGAGTGGGATGGGGATTGCTGCAAAGGAGGGGTGTGTGTGTGTGTGTGTGTGTGTGTGTACAGCAGAAATAAATACTCTTCAAGCCTAGGCCAGTTTTCTGAAGGAAGAGCATTGCCTGCCCCTTCCCTGTATGGCTTGGGGCTACACACTCACTCTGCTGGCTGATGGAGGCCGTGGAGGACTGTGCTGAGGACGGCTGTATGTGATGGGGGTCCGCTCCTGACTCTAATAGAGTCCTCAGGCTCTCCCCAGCCCCAGCAGAGCCCTCTGGGCCTAGAAAAAAAATTGCCGTACTACTGTTCATCACTCTGTCCCCAGTGCCTAGGAAGGTGTCTGGCCGACACACAGGGACCTTCAGGAAATACTTCTCGAAACCATTGGAAGGAGCCATCTGCCACCATCAGGAGGTATGTGGGTTTGCTGCCCTGGACTGGGAAGACCTTTGGACAATCTGGGGTTTACCAACTGAAGGGTAGAACTATTGCAGGGCCACAGTGTGACCAGCTGTGACTCTTTGGGTGGGCGGGGCCTGGAGTTCTAGCTGCACCTGAGAGCTGCCCTGGCCGCCACACGCTTAACTCCCCTGCTGAGTCTTCCACTTCTGCTCTTTTATCTCCCAGCTACAGGGTGGCCCTTTATCTATCTCTCCCAGCTCGCTGGACTTCCAGCTTCTGCTGCTACTTAGCTTGTGGGAGTCCACAAATGGGGCCCCCTGAGGCCTGAGGGATTCTCTTCTGATAAGCCTTTGCACCTTTTCACTCTGGACCCTCACCCAGGATCTAGCCTTCTGCCTAAGCCTGAGCCAGGACCCCCTCCTGGGGACTACCCAGGTTCCTTTGGCTCCAACTCTCCTGCCAGCGTCCTAGACGTCAACGTCGAGTCTATCAATCCGGTGAGTGATGAGACCGCCAAGAACTAGCAATCTGAGCTGGGTCTATGCGCGGTGTGCCTTGTTTGTATATTCTGGTCCTGTTTCCTTGCAGCTGGTGCTGGGTGTCTTCCCTATGTGAGCAGGGCCGGAGAGGGATGCTGAGTGGGTGGCTAGGAGCTTGGGAGCATCCTGTTAGGGCCTGTGTGCCGCTTTTCCAATTTTCCTGCCAAGGCCACTGTCAGAAAAGATAGTGGCCTGGGACTGAGAAAGGGACTGAGTGGGGTTGGGATGGCCCTGGGGCTAGGGCTTGGGGTCAAAGAAAGGAACATGCTAGGCTGTGGAAAAGGCTATATCGCCTCCCTTCATTATGAAATAGATTCTTGGAAAACTGGTTGAGACCTCAGGAAACCCCTGGGCAGTAGTTGGAAAGACAGCTCAGATGCTACCCTACCAGAAGACTCTGGCATCCTGGTTACTCTAGGAGACAGAGTGGGAAGGCCTCCCCACCACAGCCTTGATGGGGGTGGGGCTGTAGGCGAGGAGGCGGACTTACAGCAGGCCCTGGGAGACCCGAGGCCCTGCAGATCTGGGTTGTGGGAAATTTGTCTGCACTTTCACCCTTTCCCCTCTGCTCTGCGTCCTCCCCTTTGCCTCCTCTGTCCTCCATCACTGTCCCTGACCTCTGTCATCTCTTTTCTGTCTTCTTGAACTGTCTTTCCCTGCCTCTCAGCCATGCATCCTCCTCTCCTGATCTCCACCCTTCGGTTCCCAAGCTTATAAACTGCTTCTGCTGCTGGATAAAAATAGCGGCAGCAGCGGCCAGGCCGGCAGCCAGGTGCAGCCCAATCAGGCAGAGAGACGACAGCACTGGCTTACTGGGGCCAAAGGCCAGATGGGGCCGGGTTGAGTGGTCCTGTGCCTACAGTGGCTCCTAAGGGGCCTTCCCTTGCCTGCTCTGTGTGCCCATCCCTACCCCTAAGAGTCTGAGAAGGCCCTAGGGCAGTGTGGAAGCAGACCTCAATAGGGCCTCAATATTGCTTTATCCCCAGCAAGAGCCAGAGGAAGGGAGCTGCCGAGCAGGCCCAGCCGATAGCACTGGAACCATGACAACCAGTCACCAGCCTCAGGACAGGTACTGGGGAGGGGCACGGAAGTGGGTCTCTTGGGTAGGGATTGGAGTAGGTGCAGTATTTGGGACTTGAGGTTATCTCACTCCTGACTGCTCCCAGACTGGTGGTTCTGAGTTGCATCAGGTCTCCATCGGGGTGGGGTGGGGAGCATGCATACCTCCACTGGCTGGGAGCTGGCTGGTGTGCCCGCGGGGCTAGGTGGGCAGCAGTCCCCTAGTGGATTGTGTCAGGGTTTCCACTGTCGCTCTGCAGCCAAACGGCAGCTCTGGCCCCTCCCACCACCACTGTGGGGAGACACTTGGCTGCCTCCCTCATTCCAGAACACATCTGGCAGGACTGCCCTGTCCCTGGGGGTTGCCCTGGGGCCTCTGCCTTGTATGACCTCAGCCCACCCTGCCCTTTTGCCTGACCCTTCTAGCCTGCTGTCTCTGGAGTCTGAATTTCCGTAAGTTAGTGAAGGTCGGGAATGTGTGTTAGGATGGAAGAAAGAGGCGCTTGAGCCAAGTTCTCCAGAGGGGCTGAGGCTTTTGAGAGTTGAGGAAGCCATGCTACCCCTCCTTCCAGATGCCCGCTTTGTCCCTTGCATCTCTGAACCCCTCCCAACTCCTCTGCCTACCACGTAACTGTAACTAGGCCCATTCTGACTGGAAGGTTAGCTTCATCTTTTCTGGGACCTTTTCCCCACCTGCAAAATCTGGTGAGAGTGTCAGCCTTCTCTGACTGTTTTCCAAGGGGCAGGTTGGGGATTGTTTGTTTTTTCCAGACAGGATTTCTTTGTGTAATAGTCCTAGCTGTACTAGAACTAGCTCTTGTAGACCAGGCTAGCCTCGAAATCACAGAGATCCTCCTGCTTCTACCTTCCCAGTGCTGGAATTAAAGGCGTGTGCCACCACTGCCTGGCTGCAGGTAGGGATTGTAGGCGTAGGTCCCAGTTTCTGCCTCCTTTCTTTCCCAAGCTGCCAGGTGCCCCAGCCCAGCCCCTTAACATTCTACCCACTTTATTGCATTGCTGCCTGGCTCCGTTGTTTCTCCTCTGTCCTCCTGTCCTGTAGAACTTTCCCTTGGGATTTTGCCTTTCTCTGAACCATGCCTTGAGCATCTTGACCTCAAGGGGAAAGTTTAAGGTCTGCGGTGGTCATGGCTCAGACCTGCCCACTTCAGTTACTCACTCTGGCAGTCCCTTTTAAGGCTTGCAAAGAGCTAAGCTCCTGTTGCCCTTGCCAGGCCGGTCCGTGTTGGGCCTCCTCACCACTATCTCTGAAGCACGTGGGTGCTGGCCAAGGGGAAAGGTTGCTAAGCTTATAGGCAAGGACTATCCAGAGTCTGGCTCTGTCCTCATGCTCAGGACCAGATGGTATCCATAGACCTTAGTCTATCTGCACTGCCCTAGGTAGTTGGACCTACAAAACTGGTTCTGTCTGGTTAGGGGGAGAGAAGAGCTATAGCTTCCTTCTTCCCAGCTCCCTCAGGCACCCAGCCCATCTGTGCCACTGGATCCAGAGTGGTCTGGGTGTTTCTTGACCTGAGAGTCCTTCAGGGAACTACTGAGTTCCCACTTAACAGCCGAATTACTTCTAGCCTGTGTGGTGGGATCAGGGGGAGACGTGTGTTCACTCTCTATCTACCCACCCAGTCCTTTAGCAAAGTTCCAAAGCCATCGCTGGATGTGTGGGTCACTCTGCTTCCCAGTCTTCCGGTACTTGAGAACAGAGGTTCTGTCACCCACGTCATTTAGCACTGTGCTAATGGCCCTTCTCCGTTGCCCATCTACACCAGCTCTGTACTACCTGAGGACCCACACATCCCCGGTGGCACATCTCCGTGGAAGGACATGGGTACATGGACTCACATAGCTAGGACAGCTGGGAAGACGGGGAAGGAGGGCAGGAGGGTTGGTGGGCTACTTTGCCTTCTCTCTATTCAGGTATAAGGCGGTATGGCTTATCTTCTTCGTGCTGGGCCTGGGGACATTGCTCCCCTGGAATTTTTTCATGACAGCAACTCAGGTGAGACTGGGGGCAGGGGAGGCACTGGGTCCCAGAGGATGTGCCTCCCAGGCTTTCAAGGCCTGTTTCTGTGCTTCTGGGCACAGAGCAAAACAGAGGTTCCAACGCTCAACCTTTGAAAACCCCACAGTATTTCACACACCGTCTGGACCTGCCCCAGAATATGTCCACAGTCACTGACAAATCAAGCCAGGACACGGAGACCTTGCCTGCTCCCACAGTGTCCGCACCAGAGCGGAGTTATCTCAGTACCATCTTCAACAATGTCATGACCTTGTGTGCCATGTTGCCCCTGCTGCTCTTTGCCTGCCTCAACTCCTTTCTGCACCAAAGGTGAGCCTCCCCATCCCAGGTGCCCCAGCCTCCCCTTCCCGAGTGCGCCAGCCTCCCCATCCCGGGTGCCCCAGCCTCCCCATCCCGGGTGCCCCAGCCCTCCATCCTGGGTGCCCTAGGCTGCCCTTCCTCCCCATCCTGGGTGCCCCAGGCTGCCCTCCTTTCAGTCCCCTCCTAACGTCCACCCCACCCCCGCCTCTTCTCTAGGATCTCTCAGTCTGTTCGGATCCTGGGTGGCCTGGTTGCTATTCTGCTGGTGTTCCTGATTACTGCCATCTTGGTGAAGGTGGAGATGGAACCACTGCCTTTCTTCATCGTCACCATGATCAAGATCGTGCTCATTAATTGTAATCGAGGGACAGAGTGTGGGCAGTTCTGGGCCTGGGTTGGGAGTTGGGGCAGAGATAAGGAGTCCGGGTTAAGGCTCCCTGGGAGCCCCAACTGCCAGCCCCTTATCCTTGCTGACACGCTGTCTACACTGTTCCTCAGCATTTGGTGCCGTTTTGCAAGCTAGCCTTTTTGGTCTGGCTGGCGTCCTGCCAGCCAACTACACAGCCCCCATCATGAGTGGCCAAGGCCTGGCTGGCTTCTTCGCCTCAGTGGCCATGATCTGTGCCATTGCCAGTAAGTCCTGCTACCCCACGTGCAGGTGTGGGGAGGCAGGGGAGGATGACGTGGAGTGATGGGGTGTGTCTGATCTTGTCCACTGTCTGCTGCAGGTGGCTCCGAGCGGTCAGAAAGCGCCTTCGGCTATTTCATCACAGCCTGCGTAGTTGTACTTTTGGCCATCTTCTGTTACCTGGCTCTGCCTCGGCTGGTGAGCACATGGGGAGTGGGGGAGGCCCAGGGTTTCAAAGCAGAGGATGTCCTGAGATTGAAACATGGCAAGTTGGGGTTCTGGAGCTGCCTCTGACCCTACTTCCCCCTCTCCCATGCTCAACAGGAATTCTATCGCTATTACGTGCAGCTCAACCTCGAGGGGCCCTCTGAGCAGGAGACCAAGTTGGATCTTATCAGTAAAGGTCTTAATTACTAAAGGAAGTGTTGATGGGGCGGCAGGAGGCAGGGTCAGGTGTTGGTATGTGGTGTCAACTGGCAGATGAGCCAAACAGAGGCAGAGTGACCATGAGCAGTAAGCTGAGGCTAACGTGGGACTAAGTTGGGGAAGATAACATGGTGACCTTAGGGGACCTGGAGCTTTGCTGAGTTGGTAGACCGTTTGCACAATGCCCTGAGTTGATTTCTGCACTGGGCAAGGTGCTGGTAACCCCACATTTGGGAAGTAGAGGCTGGAGGATCAGAAATTCAAGGTCATCCTTGGCTATCTAGTGAGTTCAAAGCCAATCAGAGCTACACAAAACCTTGTCTCAATAAGGAAAATAGAAGAACTTGGATTACCCTGAATGTCTCAGGCTTTTGTACTGAGGTAGCAGTTTCAGAGGGAACAGAGAGTAGCATGAGCTCCTGGGGGGAAGGGGACCCCCAGGGACTTGAGTCAAGGGCATTTAGGTCTATGGGGTTTTAGGGTGTTAGGTGTTAGGAACCAACCAGTTAAGGAGGTGTCCACCTCCAGCTCAATCTTATCAATTGCTCTGTCCTCCCCAAATGTAAAGATCCTTCTCTAACCTCTCACCCAACAGGAGAGGAACCAAGAGGAGGAAGAGAGGAGTCTGGTGTTCCAGCTCCCAGCTCTCTGCCCACCAGCAAAAACCACTCTATCAAGGCCATACTTAAGAATGTATGTGGGGCTGGGGCGTCCTGCCCTTCCTTCCTCACCCCCTTCTCTCCTTTTGCTGTGTCCGTCCTTACACTACCCCTCCTACTGACCTAAGATTGAGCTTTTCCTGTCTTCCTTCCTGTGAGTGTGTGCTCGCGCTGTGTGTGTGTGTGGGTGGGGGCGGAGGGAGTTCTTCGAGATGGGGTTGGGACAGCGTTTCGCTGAGTAGCCCTGGCTGTCCTGGAACTTGGTGCTCTGTAGATCAGGCTGGCCTCAAACTCAGAGCTCTTCCTCCCAGGTGCTGGGATTAAATGCCACTACTTGTCTCTTTGATCGTTGGTACACAGCCACCAAGTCAACCAGGAACCATGACGACTCTCTTTTCTCTCTCCAGATCTCGGTCCTGGCTCTGTCTGTCTGCTTCAACTTCACGGTCACCATTGGCTTGTTCCCTGCTGTTACTGCCGAGGTTGAATCCAGCATTGCGGGCACCAGTGCCTGGAGTAAGGGCTCTGGCTTCCTGGGACAGATGCAGCAGGAGGCTAGAGTGGGACCCGTCTGCCCAGCTGGATCTCCAGGGCCTGTTCACCCTGCCATTGGCTGGAAACAAGCCTCAGAGAGAGCCAGGTGTTGTCTCTAAGTCTCTCTTTTCTCTTCCAGAAAATTACTTCATTTCTGTGGCCTGTTTCTTGAACTTCAATGTCTTTGACTGGTTAGGCCGGAGCCTCACAGCTGTTTGCATGTGGGTAAGTAGAATATGGGCTCTGGGACCTGTAGGATCAAAGTGTCCAACTGAGGTTAAGAGAGAGGCCCCAAGAAAGTAAATTGGTGGGGCTGGGAGTGTTGTTGTGTAATAGAGGGCTTACCTACCATGCATGACCCCTGAGGATTCCATCTGTAACCCCTTCAAGATTGGAAAAAAATACAATGGGAAGGGAACTGTCTCTTTCAAGTCTACATGTAACTTATGTGTAACTTTGTGCATAGTTCCTTTCTATTTTTAGGTTTTTAAATTACTTATTTATCTCTATCTATCTATCTATCTATTTTTTTGAGACAGGGTCTCGCCAGGTAGCCCTGGTTGACCTTGAATTTGCTATTGTAGATCAGGTTGGCCACAAATATCCATCTGCCTCTGCCTCCAAGTGCACGTGCCACCATGCACAGTCCAGCTAAGAGTGTATGTGGGGGTGTATGCATGTGATTGCAAGTGCCCACAGAGGCCAGAAGAGGGTGTCAGAGCCCCTGGAGCTGAAGTTACAGAGGTTGTGAGCTACTTGGTGTGGGTGCTGGGAACTGAACCTGGTCTTAACTGCTGAGCCATCTCTCCAGCCTACATTACGGTTCTTAGGTATGTAACCTGGCAGGGTCGTGTATGTGCTTACACACGTATCTACATTCCAGTGTTTAGGACTGGGGGCATTGCTCAGTTGATAAGACTGCTTACCTAGTATACTTCATGAGTTAGCCCCGAGTTTGACCTAGAATACCTCATAAGTCAAGTATGGTAGGTGCATACCTGAAACCCTAACACTTGGGAGCTGAAAACATGAGGATCAGAAGTTCGAGGACATTCTTGACTGTATACAGTGAGCCTGGGATAAGTGAGAACTTGTCTTTAAAAAAAGAGAAGGGGAAATCAGTATCTCACGCACCCCACTGTACCTCTGGCAATCAGCATCCCCCAAAGGTAAGCAGGCCTAGAGGTTTTACCCAAGCCCTAGGGCCCCTGAGTTGACAGTGAGTACTGACATGGACTGAAGCGTTGTCTGTCCCTTACAGCCTGATAAGGATAGCTACTGGTTGCCGGGTTTGGTGGTCGCCAGGATCGTGTTTATTCCCCTGCTGTTGCTCTGCAATGTGAAACAGCGCTACTATCTGTCCTCCATCTTTAAGCACGATGCCTGGTTCATCATCTTCATGGCTGCCTTTGCCTTCTCCAATGGCTACCTTGCCAGCCTCTGTATGTGCTTCGGGCCCAAGTGAGTGGGGCAGGAGAGAACTTGGTGACATCAGGCAGGAGAGGAGTGGCAATAGGAGGGTCCTTCATCTCAAATCTGCGAGGAGTGGGTTGTGACAAACTGCCCAGCTTGGGGATTGTCGGGGACAGTGGAGGCAAGGGCTTCCAAGTGTGCTCATGCTGAGCTGTGGGAGAGGGTGGAGGACGGCCCCAAGAAGTCTGGGATTGGGAATTTCGGGTGGTATGCAAGGGGGATTGGGCAGGGCTGGCTTGGATCTCCTAAAATCTCCCTGCCTTCCTTTCAGGAAAGTCAAACCAGCTGAGGCGGAGACGGCAGGAAGCATCATGTCCTTCTTTCTTTGTCTGGGCCTGGCTCTGGGAGCTGTATTGTCCTTTTTGTTAAAGGCACTTGTGTGACCAAGCATATGGGGACAGATGGACCACACTGCCTGCCTGCTTCCTGCTCAGTTTCTTCCCTGCCTGGGAGAGCAGGGGTCCAGGGGTTTGCTCTTTTGGCTGACCTTGGCTTTCTTCTGGCCTTTGTTGGGCCCAGATGCTCATGCCCCGGGAGGAAGCCTCCTCAGATGGACTTGGGATTGAGGACTCAGAATGGCAAGGGAGCACAATCTCTTTCGGAGAGGTCTGCCTGTCCCTGCTTAAACCAAGCACTCAAGGCTCCTGGGCTGAGAGAGGTCTTCTGCCTGCCTGTCACAAGGGTGGGGTGGAGGTGGAAGGCTGACTGGTGTGTCATGTGATTTGTTGTTGTTCCTTCTCCCTCCTTGTCTGCCTGTTCTCCTTCTCCTCGCTCCCTGTCGTTTTACTGCCTTTTTATACTGACAGAAACCAGGTGCCTTCAGAGGCTCTCTGATTAAATAAACTTTGTTTTTTGGGTTTTTTTTTTTTCTTCTCCACAGCTCCCTGTGTCCTCCCAAGGTTTAACCCCTTGGAGAGGAAGGCTGGCAGCCTGAGTCCAGGACTTGAGTGTGACCCAAGGTTGGGCCTGAGTATAAGAGGGTAGAAGCCCTTTAGCCTCAGAAGCTGCAGTGCCCCCTGCTGGGCCACAGACAAGGGACAGGCCTGGAGCCAAGACACCCAGACTATGGCCCAGATCTAGAAAGACTAAAGTTTTCTTTTCTGCTCACTTTTTTTTTTTTTTTTTTTTTTTTTTTTGAGACAAGATACAGCTCAAGCTGACCTCACAGTCCGTAAGTCCCGGAGGATGACCTTGAGCCGTTCCTCCTGCCTTAAGTGCTGGCGTCTACTGACGAAATCAAGGACTTCACGCAGGCTAGGCAAGCACTCTGCTAACTGAGCTACTCCCCAGCCCCTTTTCTTATTCCAAAGGACTGGAAACGGAGGCAGCTCTATGTCTTTCCTGTCCTCATTGTTATCCGCCCCTCCCCCACAGATGCTGTCCTGGGGCCTGAAATGAACTCTGCCAAACTGGCCAGCACCACCCCCAGCTTCTGGCCATCCTCCCACATCCCTGGGCAGGAAAAGGCTGAGGCCTGAGTTCTCCCTTACCCTTGGCTCCAGGCCCTGACACCGAAGCCCAGGCTGCCAGGCTTCCTGGAGAACAAGGGACCTATGTGTCCTCATGTTGGAGTGGGACCTTCCCTTTCTCTAACCACATTGCGGTCTAAGGAAGGGTGGGTTGGTACGGGATGTGAGATCTACTCTGCCGAGGACTCGCTGTGAGTGGAGCTGAGAGACGACCTCTGGCCATAAGCACACCTCAGCCCCAGCCCTGAGAGGTGTCTCTGCCTTTTCCCAGAAATGCATGAGCTTTTGCCTCCTGGCCCAGGCTGTTTACTTGCTGGTCCCTGACTGATGACTACAGACAGAGCTGACCCTACTTTTAGGACTTCCTTTTTAATACGGAAATTTCATTTAAACCAGTAGTTCTCAACCTTCCTAATGCTTTGACCCTTTAATACTGTTCCTCATGTTGTGCTGACCCCTCCAACCTTAAATTTATTTTTGTTGCTACTTCATAACTATAATTTTGTTACTGTTATGAATCATAACATAAATATTTGTGTTTTCCAATGGTCTTAAGTAACCCCTCTGAAAGGGTTATTTGATCTCTAAAGGAGTCATAACCCACAGGTTGGAAACCATGGCTTTAAACAAAGGTTTCAGGCTTTCATTTCATGAGTAGTAGTGGCATTTTTTTTTTCTTCTCTTTCCTTTTTTTTTTTTTTGAGACAGGCTGTCCTGGAACTTTTTAGACCAGGTGGACCTCGAATACAGATGCCCACGGGCCTCTGCTAGTATTAAAGGCATGCGCCACCACCATTTAGGCTTGGCTTGTTTTCAGTCCCCTACCCCACCTCCACACACACGCACACAGGGTTTCCCTGTGTAGCAGCCCTGGCTGTCTTGGAACTCGCTTGGTAGACCTTGAACTCACTGAGATCCACCTGCCTCTGCCTCCCAAGTGCTGGGATTAAAGGCATGCGCCACCACACCAGACTTTGTTTTCAATTTTTTTTAAAGATTTGTTTATTTATGTATGACTACCTGCATGTATACCTTTATGTCAGAAGAGGGCATCAGATCTTGACTTGAGAGTATTGGGAGCCACCCTGTGGTTGCTGGGAATTGAACCCAGGACCTGAAGAGTGTTTGGGATTCACCAAAATGGTTTCTGCTAAGCATTCCTAGCTGGCCTGGTTTGTTTCCGTGGCTAGCCTCAAACTCTTGGCAATCCTGCTCTAGCCTCCCGAGGGCTGGGGTTGTAGACATGGCATCATCACAAGGAGACTTCTGTGCAGCAATTACAATGGGCTTCTCCCTGGAGTATGCACCCGCTTCCCCAAAGTTTCCTGATGTTTGACCAGCCACGGTCAGCTTATATAATTTTCTTCCCCTTCTGCACCCGGGATGTTTGCAATGTGACTTATTTCCTCTCAGGCCCTTACCAGCCATGGGCTGTCCTGGTGCTGAGGCGAGGGTTTGCATTTCACTCGGGTTTGGGCTTTTTGAGCTGAGAGCGCTGTGCCTGACTCCTAGGGGTCCTCTGAAGATGTCCCCTTTGCACCATCTCATGCCCCACCCCCGAGGTGTGGAAGCATTCACTGCCCATGTTCTTGCCCCCCCTACACTGACCTGAAGGGGTCGGGGGAGACATTTATGACTCAGTCACTTTATTACTTCCTGTACCTGAATCAATGTAGAAGAAAATAGCTGGAATATATGTATATATATTTTTTTTCCCCCAAAGTCTTCTGATCACATTCAGGCTAGAGAGGAGGGAAGGGAGGGTTTAAGACTGCGGGTCACTTCTGCTTCCTATGAGGGGGTAAGAATTGAGCAAGGGACTGCCAGGTATCCTTCGTGCCCTAGTGCTAGACATCACTTCCTGACATTTCTGTTCAAAGCAGTCTGTTCAGCTTCTGTCTTCTGGGTGACTGCCAAGTGATCTTCCCTGTGCTGGCCAAGGTGGTGCTGACTTCAGTGCGCCCACTTGTGGTCATAGTCTACCGCAGTGGAGCAACCAGGCGGCTGCAAGGATCCGTTTAGTTTTTGCTGTTTATCAGATGAGAAGTCTACTAAATTCTACCTGAAAAAAAAAGAAAGAAAAAAGTAATTTAGCTGGTGATGGTGATGCACGCTTTTAATCCCAACACTTGGGGGGCAGAGGCGGGCCATCTCCAGGTTTGAGGCCAGTCTGGTCTACAGAGTTTGCAGACAGCCAGAGTTACACAGAGAAACCCTGCCTTCAAAATAACAAAAAACTGGTTTAGGTTCAGAAAGGAAATTGAAACAGGGATAAAGGAGAGGTGGAGTGACAGTTCTCACAAAAACTGAATTATTCTAAGAATTCAGCTGGTAGCCACTAAAAATGGCTGTGAGCCAAAACATGCAGAGTCACTAGGGAGCTGGGCTGTCTGGCTGGTACAGACACAGGAAGGGTGACTTCAGGAGGCTGGCCAGAAGATCTGGTGCCAAGGCCAGGCTGGCAGAGTCTGCCCTGGGGACTATCTGGTTCCTAGGGTAGGTGTGGGCAGAGTCTAAGAACATAACAGTCCCTTAGGGTTCCCTGCGTGTTTCCAAGGTGTGATCATTCAGCCCTCTGTAGCTTTTCAGGCGGTCCTGAAAAATCTCCAAATACCCAGATGCATTCTGGCTCCAAGCCGTGGGGATGCTAAGTGTGTGTCGGCAGGGCCCTGTGAAGGCCTCTGCCCAAGACAGCAGCCACCTCTTCCTTGGCTTTTTCTGAGGGTGAGGCCACTTGGCATAAATTCAGACCCATAGAGTATCTGTCCTGGGCCCCAGCTGTTCAAACCTAGACGAGCTTTTCATTCTGTGGCTCTGATTCCTCACCAGGGCACGGCAATATCAGGAAGGACTTGCTAAGGCAATTACAGCCAGCTGTCCAGAGCTGGCACAGGCTAAGATAAGAGCCTTAGTAACCAGGATGAGTCTGCATATCCTGGAGTGATCTACCTACTTGCTCCCCTCCCCCGCACCTCTAGGCTCTGGAAGCCTGAGAACCAATCCTTATTGGCCTAGTTAATCCCAGGGCTTATTAACTACACCAGCGTTTTATTACTTCTTGCTGCAGCCAGTCAGCCCCTAGGAATTAAGACCGTGGGAGGCAGGATGCATGCTAGGGTTGGGGAGGGCCTGCCAGAACTGAGAAGGGTAGATGATATCACAGGTCCCAAGGTGGGAGCATTTTCCCCACTTGCTTGTGAACTCAGGCAAGTGGGAAGTCAAGACTGTGAGACCTGCCTCACTGTGCCTTGTGTCCAGGTCACCTTGAACCAGGTACTTAACGTCTTAGAGCCTGTGTAAAGCAGGGAGGGTAACATCTGGAAAGCCACTGATAACTCAGGACTAAAGCAATGGTTTGTCCCTCTGCCCAGCACTTAGCTACACTGTCTCATAACCCCCCAATAGCTACAGATTGGGACTATTTCCTGTTATGCCTGTTTTATTCTAGAAAATGATAGAAAGGTCAAAAGGTGAAAAAAAGATTCCTTAAACTGCAAGATACTAAAATCCTTTAATCCCCTACCCATCCCCACACACAGGCAGGAAAGTTATCAGGAAAAGGGACAAAAAGGCAAGGCATTGCTGATCTTCCACCCTTCTGGACACTAGACCATCCATGCCCAGGGACCCGAGGCCTGGCATGCTGAACTCTCAGCTTGCCAGTTGAACGCTAAAGTGTTTGATATGTATCTCTGCTATCCAGGATCACCGTGGCAGCCCTCCCAGTCCCATATCTGTGTAGAGGCAGGCCAGGCAGGGGCAGAGGGCAGAGAATGGCTCAGAAATCCAGTCAGTTGAGACCTGTGCTGAAAAGGAGTTACCAGTTGCCTCGGGGCAAGACAGACGGCAGGCAGAACTATAAGTAGGTTCTGCCACCTGGTCCCTACCCTGACCGGTCAGCTCCAGAATAAACGCCATTCATGGGACCATTTTTGGTCCCTTGAAGGGGTTGGGAGCACCAGAGGAGGTCAAGTCTGAGAGGACTTGAAAGTAGGAGAGGGGGCAGGGCAATGACTATTTTGGGCTGGTTAGTCACACACCTTAGGGACATGGGTCCTTGGAACAGAGACGGGCAGTCATGGTGTAATAACATGGCAGGTTAGCAAGGTCTCCACTAGCATTTTGAGAATGGGATCTATGCCAAATCTTGTGCCTCTTGTCACCAGACCACCCTGTTCTCGCCTTTCATCCGAGTCAGTTCCGGCCTCTCCCACATCCTCCTCTGCCTGCTGGACAGTTGTTCTTGCTGCCCACAGTTGCCTAAATCCAGTATCTACCTCCCTCCAACCCAGCAGCACCCACTTCCCCACCCCACAATGTTTCACTGTGTAGTTAGTCTAGGTTTGAGATCACTACCATAGCTTAGGATATGACTTCACTGTCGTAGCTTAGGTTGCCTCCAACTCACAATGTAGCCCAGGCTGGCGTGGAACTCTGGTCCTCCAGCTTCTGCTCCCTGAGTGTTGGGGGTCACAAGCATGTACCATGCCCTGCTTTCAGCCCCTGCTCTGCTGTCTCTTAGACTCTCTCTCCACTCACTGGCTGACCTTCCTGCCTGTATATAGTCTTGACCTTCTCAAGACTTCTCACTCTGAAACTCCAGGCTGGGTTTTGTGTGTTCACTGTCTCTCCTCCCTTCTTTCCTTTCTCTCTCTGGTTCCTCTTTGCTTTCTCTTGTTGAAAGTATCTTGGGAAGGCCAAACTTCCTTTACAGGTGAGGCAGGCTTTGTATCCTGCATCTACTTCCTCAATTCTAAATTGGACACCCAGCCATAGTCATTTTTGTTTGTTCTTTGAGACAAGGGCTCACTACATAGTCCTGGCTGTCCTAGAACTAGCTATGTAGATCACACTGGCCTCCAATTTACAGACATCTGCCTGCTTCTGCCTCCTGAGTGCTGGGATTCATAGTAATTTTAAAGTCTTCTAAAGGTATTGTTAGTTTTCTTGATTATGCCAGTAATCCAGACACAATTTTAACAAAATAGAAAACACAGTGGGGGGCTGGAGAAATGGCTCAGTGGTTAAGAGCATTGCCTGCTCTTCCAAAGGTCCTGAGTTCAATTCCCAGCAACCACATGGTGGTTCACAACCATCTGTAAAGAGGTCTGGTGCCCTCTTCTGGCCTGCAGACATGCACACAGACAGAATATTGTATACATAATAAATATTTTTTTAAAAAAAGAAAAAAGAGGGGCTGGAGAGATGGCTCAGAGGTTAAGAGCACTGCCTGCTCTTCCAAAGGTCCTGAGTTCAATTCCCAGCAACCACATGGTGGCTCACAACCATCTGTAATGGGGTCTGGTGCTCTCTTCTGGCCTGCAGGCATACAGAATATTGTATACGTAATAAATAAATATTTTTTTAAAAAAAGAAAAAAGAAAACACAGTGACACCAGTTTCCCCCATCTTTTCTTTTTTTTTCTTTAATTATTATTTTATGTACATTGGTGTGAGGGTGTCAGATCCTCTGGAATTGGAACTAGAGCCACAGACAGTTGTGAGCTGCCATGTGGGTGCAGGGAATTGAACTCTGGTCCTCCAGAAGAGTAGTCAATGCTTAACCAATGAACCATCTCTCCAGCCCCCCACCCCCATCTTTTCTTTTTAATGAGTATATGTGAATACGTGTGTATGTTCATGTGGGGAGG